GGGGGGGCGGGATGGTTCCCGCTCTAATACCAGTGTGAGGGACCCGCCAGGATGGCGGTCCGTTAGGATCAAGATGCAGGGACGAGGATGGGGGAGATGAAGATGGAACTGGAAGGGACAGTGCAGCTCCAACGCAGACTCAACATGCACGTACTCCAAACTGTGCAAATGAAGAATGACCACAAACAGACTGCAGCTGGGGTATACCCCCAGCGGACTGACTGGACTGGACTGGTACCGACAGTGGTACCGGGCAGGACTGGACTGGACTGAGTGAGCACACGGCCTGGTCCCACAGGCCGAACAGGCAAAATAGCCTGATAGGCCCTGGCTGTAGGCCAGGGCAGATAGAGGCCCGCTGCAGTGTCTGTCTGGTTAAGCGCCAAGTGCATACAGACCCATCTGTCGTAAAGGGCACACTTGAACATATGAAAAAGTGGGCAGGCAAGAAAACCATACTCACCAACCCGCACTACACGGCCAAAAATAAACACAAGTCAGTGTATCCAATCACATACATATATTGTCACATATCACATAACTATGAACTAAAAGAGCGCACTTGCCAAACAAACGGTAAAGATTAAGAAACAAGACAGATGAGGGCACACTGAAAACCGCTCATTTTTCTCTTTCTTCTTTTACCTTCCCCTTCACTGTGACTCTCACGTACAAGGCTTGCGAGGTTGATGATATAAAAGTTCCATTCAACAAAAAAAAGGCAAAGCAGTGAAGTATTTTGCTCAAGGATTCAAACCTTGGTGAGAAATGGGCAGGATGCTGCTATGGCCTTGACGGCAATCTCAGTGACCCAGCAGCCATCTCCAGTCTCATGAGATCCCAACTCGAACACTTTCAGACTCGAGCCCCAAGCATCCACAATCTTGACGATGTGCGCATCCCTCACATCGAAATCGTGTCCAAGCCGAACACTCTGGACTTTCCGTCGCCCTGCCTGCTCCTGTACAACTGTCCCTGGTCCGTCATTCTGGGCGCTGCAACACCCTCCACCACCTACCCCAGTGCTGCTAGTGGCTTCTTGGCCTTCTGGATGATCCCCACAATCCGTCCACATGCCAGAAGGCCTCTCACTCGAAGAGCGCAACTTTTTCAAACACCCAGGATATTCATCAGAAGCTGCAGGTCCATTGGCTTTGGTAAGCTTGAACAGATCCTCAGAAGCTGCAGGCCAAACCACCCATCCTCCACTGGCGATGAATTCCCCACTCGTCATGTTCTCGCAAACAGCACCTTGCCTTCTATGTTTAGCTGCGGTTTCTGCGGCCCTCGCGTCATTTTCTATGGCTATGCCACCTTGACAATTGCCTAGTTCTTCTTCGCCTCTGGTGTCTTCCCTGCTCTCACGTAATCTCTCTGTCCCCAGAACACAATTATGACCAATCTCGTCTTCCCCATGAGCATCATGGCCAACACTCTCTTCTGCATCACAGTCAGAAGTTCATCATAACCATCAGCTTCATCCGAATCATCATCATCATCATCTCTCTCTCTCTCTCTCTCTCTCTCTCTCTCTCTCTCTCTCTCTCTCTCTCTCTCTCTCTC